AAGGGCATTCGAGTGACATCATTTTCTTATCACTCTCTTATCAGGTCCCCCATAAAATTTATAACACGTGACCAAACAAAAAAAAAATCGTTTGGTCAAAAAATAAACAAACAAAACGACGAAAAAAATTTTTTTTTTTTTCTTTTCTCGAAAAAAACCAAAAAAAGTGCGTAAATTTTTCCCACGCATTTTTTTGTGGGGGAAGGAGAGAGAGAAAAATGGGGAGGTATACAAAAATTTTTATCCGATAAAAATCTTTTAAAAAACAAACCGATTTAACGTTTCATAAATAAAAAATAATATAAAATAAAAAATCGACAACATTTTTTTTTTGTTACGTAAGGTAAGTTTAAGAGTCACCGTCCGCCATTTTTATTTTTACGACACAAATTTTTCAATGAAAAATTTGTGCGTGGGTGCGTGCGCGTATTAAAAACATTAAATTGTTCCTGTCGACCGAAATTTTAGTAGAAAATAATAATAAAAATAATCGATTGGGATAATAATAATCGATCAATGGTTTTAAAAACTTTAAAGGTTGTTTTTTCGTCAGGGTAATAATAATAATAATAATATTTCAGGGTAATAAAAAATTAAGAAAAAAAAAATGTTGTCGTTTTTTTTCCAAAGTAATAAAAATTAATAAATTGATTATTAATAATAAAAATGTTTACAATTTTGTCGTTTGTAAACAAGGTTTACACACACACACACGCACACGCACTTTTATATGTTGTATTTTAATTATTAATTTTTTTATGATTTTTTTCGTTGTTTGTCGTCAGCCTCAAAAACAACAATCGAATATTTTGTTTGTTTTTTTGGGAAATTTTTTTTTTATAAATTCTAAAGTTTGCCCGATGGCGTAAAAAAATTTTTTTTTGTTTTATAAAATGTTACGTTGTTGTTTAAAAATTAAATTTTAAAATTTTTGTTTGTTGTTTGTTGTTTATACAAAAAAAAATTTAAACAATTTACGTCGTCAAATTGTCTCCGAGTCAATTAATAAAAAAAAAGTTTTGAAAATTTTAGTTTTCGAAAAAAAAAATTTTCTTCGACATCCGACATTTGCATAATGTTTGTTGTTACCTTAATCAACTTTTTCCGGAGAAATTCAAACAAAACTTAAATCCATTTGGTAACAAACAAAAACCCTAACCTCCCTCCCCCTCCCCTTCCTCACGCCTCCGAATAAAACAAAAAAAAAATTGTTTTTTCGTTTGCTGTTTGTTTGTTCTTATTTGGAATAATGTAAAATTAGTTTTCTAAAATTTTCTAAACAATTATTTTTAAAAGGTTTTACTTTTTCTAATAGAAAATATTAATAATGATAATAATAATAATAATATAAATGGAAAATATTTGAATAGTTTTTAATGGGAAACTTTTTGAGAAAACAAAAAATAATCTAAAGAGTGGTGGGAGTTTTATGAAAAAGAAAGAATGAAAGAGAGAGAGAAAGAAAAAAAGGAGTCATAGACAAAAAACAGAAAACAAAAAGAAGACTAATCAAAAAAAGGGAGAGAGAGAGAGAGCAAGGAAGCGAGAAAGAGAGTGAAAAAAATGGATAGCAAGAGAAAT